GTCACACTCCCCTCACCAGACAGGCCCGACCCCATCCCCAGCTCCCCTCCGTTACATGGGGGCTGAGCTGGTGGTCGAAACCGGGACCTCTCGCAACCAAAGCGAGAATCAAACCACTAGAAATAGTTGGCATTTTTGGGTGAGAGACAGAGGAAGGAGGGGTTAATAAGTCTCCTCTCCTTTGCATATTTTGGTAAGTCGCTGCCGCTTCCAAAGACTTTTTTGGCGTCTTTTTAATTCGCTGCTCCTCCCCCTTCCCCCGCTTGGCCTTTAATTTGTTCTTGACGTCCTTCATCTTCACTGCTAGCGATCGGTGGATATCGCGTAGTCAGTTCAATCAGGTCAGGCAACTGCTAAAACTGGGCCCGATTTGGCTAGGTCAATAGGACAGAGAACTGAGAGCTGGTGGGTTGGGTCTCGGCAGTCGTGACGGGGAGGAGGCAATCAGGTTACTGACTGGAAAGATGTTGAGACCTTGCTCTGAGGTACAAACTGGGAACAGAGCGGGCGGGGTTTATGGGAGAGGGAGCCTGTTTCTCATGAGTAGCACGGAAGTTGTCGCTGAAAGGAAATTAGCAGTGTTGAAAGCGACCTGCGCGATAATAATAATAATAAAAAATGACGACACATCTTTTGAATTCGAACTTACTGCTTGACCGATCTGGGCCGACCGGATTTTCATAGTACTTTGCTGCGGGAAGAATGCTGCTCCCTCCCTCTCTCTTCATTGCTGCAGCAGCTTGGCATGTCGGGGTGGGGCAACAGCCCGAGCCACGAAATATCATCCACTCGGCTGGCTTTTGGTCGCTCCCAATATCGATTTGCTGCGCTGCTCGCGCATGCGTGCTTGTGGTTGCGTGTCCGGTTGGTGAGGCTGAGGAGGCGCCCCAGCTGCTCGTCGCAGAAGGCGCATCCCGGATCAAGGGACGCGATGATGTCATGTCACTTGTCCTCACTGTTTTACAGTGTGTGTTGGGTGCCAACATCTGGTGCACCTCGATGGGAGTGTTGCGTTTTGGTTTTGGTATTGCGGACGATTTAGGCCCTGTTCTTGCAGATTTTGCTGGCAAAGATGTTGGCGCAGGCCGGGCTGTGGCTGTTTGCTTCCGCACCTCACCTCCTCCTAGCCCGATCAATGAAAGCAGCAGACGGAGCTCTGCTGCACGAATCTAGCAAGCATGCACCGCCGAACGGTTGCTGTCCTATGCAGGCCAGAAAATACGGGCACACAAGGCAGGAAGGAAGCAGTCCCCCGCCTCGTTGCAGCAGGCTTGAGCCTCATGTCGCGGAACGAGTGCTGGCATAGACCTGTGTGCGTTATCTTTGACGGCTCTGCTCGTTTCGTTGAGTGGAGAGGAAAATGAGGGCCAGGGGTGCATGGTTGGCAGTGATGTTTAGTTTTTTGCTTCCGCAATTGAGGTATGTTTGAAGAAGTCGAGAAAACTTGCAGGGTGAATGCTCAAGAAAGAAAGGTCCAGCAAGGGTTTTGGAAAAGACGTTGACGAAAAGAGATGGCCTGAGGAGGAGAACAACATTGGCGGATCCAGGGCGGTTTCCTTGGAGGGGAGCAATTTACACTGTTGCCTCCCTGTTCCTTGCTCCAGTTGTTCGTCTTACAGACCGCGGAAAAGGGGGAAGAAAGAGGTGGGCGACAGGGGTTTTCGAAGACATTTTTCTTCAGTTTTAACACTGCTATCTGTGCCGCTAGGCGCGGGGGAGCGTAACACCCTCCCTCCTCCCGCTGGATCGGCCAATGGAGAATAATGAATGGCTGTTTTGAAAATGAAACTAGAGCGAATGGTATGGGAGCGGGGCTGGCGGTCATTGCGGGGTGTATGGTGGTGCTGGGGTTGGCAGGGAGGGG